TGCTGCTGTCTTTGCTGTCTTTGAAGACCGATTTTAGCCAAATAAGTCCTATCAAGTACTAATTTTTTTATGATTATGAAAGCTGGGAGCCTGGCGCATATTTCAGACAGGCTTAAATTTTGAATTTCCACCTTTTTAGATTTTTAATTTAAAGTTAAAAATTTAAGACATAACTCACAAAACGTAAATTTTTAACTTTAGACCAAAAATTTCTTTACTTTTAGTAAAGATACGAAGTTGATTATTTTATGCGTAAAAGGACAACTTATGAAGACTCATTTGCGAAAATAAAAAATCTCAAAAAAAGTCTTCAAATATTTTTTTTAATTTTTGAAGACAGTCAAGTCGAAATTTACCAAAAAATTTAAAGAAAATTATAACTCGAAAACTATCAAAAATCGCGGAACATACATGGGGGTAATTCGAATACCCCACGACCTGCCGGACCTAAAAAAAATTTATGACGTCAATTGTCCGGCCACCCTGTATAAAAACAACAGAATCTTATAAAGAAAATATTCAAATATGAAACAATTTCTTTCAATTGAATATATGTAACAACTGATTATAGGAAAAATTTATTTCGCTCAACCAAAACTAATAAATTTCATTTATCAAAGCTTATTGCCAAAATAATGTATGCAAACATAATCACATAAATTTTACCGATGTTTCGTGCTTTTTTCCCTCCAAGGTCAAACCCTTTATCGTTGCCAAGGCTGTTTCGTCAAGCATCGTTACTAAATTGTAATTATTCTCAGTTAGGGCAGGTTCGACAAGATGTAGGTACATACTACCGACGAAGTATAAAACCCATCGGACTTGTGTTACAACCGGTTCGTGACCTAAGACATTTTTTTAGAAAGCGCCGAGGACTTTCACGAAAAGAAGCTTTATATTTTATGGTCGTTATTTTCGGGAGCCGAAAAAAGTTCTGTATCCGATAAAGTTCAATTCGTAGCGGAGTGAGATTTCGAGTTGAAACGCTCATATAGATCTTTTACGGATAAAGGTTTTTTGAGCGTGGTTATTAATTATTCCAAGCTAGCCAACTGAACTACCGGAAACCTCATTCAATCATTTACTTATTATAGCCTATCAAAAGTTCAAAAGTCCACTGCTAAACATATGTCTCCACTGCAGATAGCCTTAGAGGAGGATATATATTTTTTTATAGAAGAGGGGGCAAACTAGCATACGTTTCACCTGATGTTAAGTGACTACCGCCGCCCAACCAGGGGAATTGCAGGTGCGTGGCCGGCGCTTTAGAAAGGATAAGCTCTTTTCTTGGAGGTCCTTAAGTCGTATCGGTCCGGAAAAATCGCCGGTGGTAAAATATTCCACAGAGAGGTCGTACGGGAAGAAAACTCCAAGTGAAACGTACAGTGGTGGACCGCCAAGCATCCAAATGGTATCGGGAGGTTTGCCGCGTAGTGCCTTCATGAGGCTGATAATTTGGCAGCTGGGATTAATCCGTACAATTCCTCAGAGCACTCCCCGTGATAGATGCGATAAAATACGCAAAGAGATGCAACACCTCTTCGCAGCGCCAGTGAATCAAGCCAATCGGAAAGCACTCGGTCGTCGACGATTCGAGCCGCTCTGCGCGGGATGCGGTCAAGTGTAAGGAGCTGGTACTGGGGAGCCCCAGCCCAGAAATGGTAACAGTATTCCATGTGCGGCCAAACCTGCGCCTTTTAAAGTTGCAGGCGATGTGCCGGCATGAAATACTGCCCCACTCTGCTGAGCACGCCAAGCTTTTTAGAGGCCAATTTGGCCTTCACTTCCAAGTGACCGCGAAACTGCACGTCACTCGATATGTCGACGCCGAGGATTCCGATACTGGCTGAGGTAACAAGGGGAGTGCCTTAAAACTGAGGAAATACAACAGAGGAGTTCTTTTTAGCGGTTAACGCACAAACTTGTGTCTTCTGAGAGTTAAATTGGACTAGATTTAGTCGCCCCCAATCCGAGACTTTGTTCAGCTCGACTTCAGACACAAGTTTGTCCCGGTACTCGGAGACGTTTTCCCGAGAAATTTTGGCACAGCCGGTGTACAGAGCATCACCAGTGCTGTAATCTTCATAAAGTGAATGTTGTCGGCTTGCAGCATATCATTGATATGCAGAAGAAACAGCGTTGGTGATAGCACGCAGCCTTGTGGAACATCAGCATTAATAGGCTTATAATCGGAGCTTGTACCGTCTACAATGACCTTGATACTCCGATCTGCAAGAAAGCTGGTGATCCAATTGCACAATTTCTCATATAAGCATCAAAGCCCATAGGAAGGGAGCTTCGAAAGAAGCGCTTTGTGCAAACCCGATCGAAGGCCTTCGCAATGTCCAAACTAACGGCCAATGCCTCCCCCTTAGACTCTACTGCCGCTGCCTATCTGTGAGTCAGGTAGACCAGAATACAGCTGATCGACCACGACGAAAACCGTATTGGCGATCACTAATCAGCTGGTGATTCTCAAGGTACCTCGTGAGCTGGCAGTTTACAATGGATTCCATTGTTTTGTTGATGGGGCTGGACGGGTCTGAGGGGTCGCCTTTTTAAAGGATTGGGTGGACGAAAGCCGTCTTCCACGATTTTGGGACTACGCCTAGAGAGTAGGAGTACCGGAAAAGGCGCGTTAAGACCGGTGCTAACTCTGGAGCACGTGTCCTCAGCACAATTGCGGGGATACCATCAAGCTCACTCGCGTTGTGGATGTCCAGGGAGAAGAGTGCTTTGCGAACCGAGCGCTGTGTAAATGCAAAGAAAGACCGCATCCTATCTCAATCGGCTGACCAATAGTGCCAACCGGCAGCCTGCAGAATGCAACTGCGATTTCAGCGTGAGTGGCACCACACTCTGGAAAAGACAATGATCCGAAGAGCCGAAAGGGGCGTCGATGGAAATCTGATATCCGTCCGGATGAGATGTCACCAGAAGGTTCAACAGGGAAGGTGTATGATCCTCCACATCTGGAATCCGCGTAGGTAAAGTAACCAGTTGTGTCAGACCATATACTAAGGCAAAATCATTACCAGATCATCCTGCATGATCGGTTAAACGTGAATCAAGCCACTTGGCGTGGTGGGCGTTAAAATCGCCGAGGATCACGATCTCTGCGGAGGGGATCTGCTGTAGCAAAGAATCTGTAGCCATTTGGAAGTGGTCGAAGCGTCGGTCTGTTTCGGCATTACCGCTATGGGACCTATATAGGCACCTTCGTCGAAACCTTCAAGACTGCCGAGGCTTTGAGAACAAATGTCGTCTCTGACGTATACGCAAACTCCAGCCCGAGGCACAAAGGAGTGTTCCAGTTTGTACCCCGGGTAGGAGAAATACGAAGCATCAGCCGGAGAGGACACCTGCGTCTCGGTCAGAAAGAGCAGAGCCGGCCTCGCCGTCTCGAGATGGGAGTGGACGACATTTAGGTTAGAATGAAGTCCACCCTGATATTGCAGAAATTCATGGATAGCGTGGCAGGGGCGCCTTGGTCTTGTTGCTCAGTTTGCCCTGATCAATTGTTGTCTTGAGCAGAATTGCCCCCCTTCCCCGGAATACGCGGCGCAGCCTGAGCACCCACGCTCAGGGGTGGAATAACTTGGTCGTGGATGATCAGCGAGGGATTCTCTAGAGGTGCTGGTACCCTCCTGGGGTAGATCTTTACTTAATTCTGCTACCATGTTAAGGGAGGGGGGGGGGAATTGGGCTCCCGGCCACCTAAATATATATATATATATATATATTTACCACAATGCCCGTTATTGGCATATGGACTGGCAACTGCCGTTTTTTTTAAATTATTATTATTAAGCGTTTACCTTTATCGCCTCTTACGACATCCAGGAGATGGCATGTTGTAGTGGATATTACACCAGCACATCGATTAGTAGTGTTAAACGTTTTGTGGATTCCCCTGAGGTAGTTTAGATTAGTTGCATACGCTAGGCAGGCGGATTAGCGATACCGAAATACATACTTTATCTCCGTCGCTAGTTGGTACATGGGTTCTTAGTGTAATGCAAAAGTTTTATTTGCGTACGTACGCAAATATGGCTTTTAAACACCATCCCTATATCATCTCGTGGATGGCATAAGAGGTAACAGAGGAAAACTGAATCTAGATATGGGTAGCAGAGCAGCATCTTCCTTATGACTACCAAAAAAACTGTGGTTACCAACCTGCCTACTAAGCTTGGCAAATTTATGGGGAATAGGATTCAACACGTTTACACGTTTGATAAGCTGTAATAAATAAAAAAATACGTGTGGCACTCGGTGACTGCCGCGGTAAAGCTATTGCATAGCATTTTTTATCAACTTATGCAATTATAATTATTTATTTATTTTATTTATGCAGTTAAGTCTTTGATATTAAATCAAGTTACACTTTTTGAGCGTGGTGACCGACAAGAAAACAATTTTTTTCCTCTTGTTGAATAAATGAGAAGTTAATATTGTTTAAAATATTTTAATATCTTACAATACATGTAGGTTATTCAGGAATTTTTATCATTGAGTTAGCAGCTAGTGTACACGCATACGTCTAGTCGCACACACACAAACACCGTGCCGAAGTCTGCCGAGTGCCGAAGTCTGCCGAACTGAAACGACGTTAGACGATGCACGGCTTTCAACGCCACACCTCCGTGCCCGTCGGAGTGGGGAGCGTGAGGTTTTTTTCGTTACGGAAATTCTGGATTCGGTCCCCGCGCTCAAGGCCCGCGATAGAAGCTGTAGCAATAGCTTAATAAATGGTGCAATAAAAGCATCTTAAATATAAAGTTAATATTCTTTCACGGGCATCTGTAACTAACTTCAAACAAAGGAGGCTAACGGTTGTTGACACCTTTGAGAACTCACAGCTCTATCTCCTTTATAGACTGGAACCCGGCAGTCAATTCATTGCCGCTTGCTGACAGGCAACATAGTTACACCTTGTATTATAATAAATAGTTTAGGTACACCCGGGCAACCTCTAGTAAACTTTTTACTTTTACCAGTTTGCCGAACATCATCACATCGTATGGTTATTTCTTATGGAGCTGGCACGGCGCAAATGGACCGCTAGGACAAGAGAGGAACTGGAACGAACTGCAAAACTTCTCAACGAAGCTGGGTTCCCTTTCAAAGACATTGAGAATGTGATTTGGGAGCAGAGAGTACATTTTGCGGCAGCCATCGCCAGGATTCGCATTAAGAATAGAGCCTACTCGTAATGTATTTCACTCACTATAAAACATTTTTCTAGGTACAAGAAATTTGACAGTTTAGATAACCGGGGCACTTATATAGTGTTATAGAGAGTAGAATAAATGCAGTAGAAATGCGGTCATTAAGGAGTATGTTAGGGCTGAATCTAAGTGATAGGGTGAGAAATTGTGTGATAAAAGAAGAGTGTGGGTTGCAAGATGATGTTGTGACCAGGATTAAGAAAGGAATGCTTAGGTGGTTTGGTCATGTAGAAAGAATGAACGAGGAAAGAGGACAAAGAAATGTGAGGGAAAGGAAGAGTCAGAAAGGGACGTCCTAGGCGAAAGTTTATCGACCAAATTGGCGATATATTGAAAATAGTCCAAATTAAGAGTACCCTTAACCGACGAGCATGTATGCGTGGGTATATGGATGTGGAGGAGGCGAGAGAGGTGTGTCAGGATGGTGTCAAATGAAAGTCTGTAGTCTCTGTATTTTGTATGTATGTATAACTGGGACAACCACGAATATATTGGACATACATATCAACATCTATACGTGGTAGAGCCACGCTGCAGCTATAATATGGTTGTAGCATGAATGGGTCGGCTCGACCGGGGAAGGACCACGCTCTCACAGAATACCAGCGTGAAATAGCAGCTTAATGCTGCTGTGTCCATCTTAGTCCTCAGGGGTGACAGCGCATCTGCATTTTAGTTCTTAATCGGGGTTAAATGTAGATGTCTATGTGCCACAGCATCCACTTACCATCAGGTGGACTGTGTGCTCGTTTATCACCCGTATTCTATATATAAAAAAAACATATAACACAAAACTCTTTATGTACTTCCTACTGTAGTGCTTCACCATTATACTGTGATACGCACGGGGTTAAACCGTAAAAGCTCTTGAAATAATCAAGAGTGGAGCGATAACGTGCGTGCGTTTTTGCGGCACCTGTGCTATCTAGTATAAGTTCCGTGTGCGTGTGAAACCGTGTTCAGCTTTACCCCTTACTATTATTTAAAACTGTTTGGAAGATACCCTGTGTCTGTGTTTTTGTAATTGTGTGTGAAACCGTGCTACTCCTTTACTAATATGTAAAAACTGTTAATAAGATTCCTGAAAATTCCGCTCTTATGCTATTGAGAGAGAAAAAGTAAACGAATCAAAGATGCAACACCACGCAATTGTGGTAAATCGCAATTGCGTGGCGTTGCATCTTGATCACGGAAGAACTCACATTTATCAGTGTGCTGCTATAAGATGCTGGCAAGCAATAGTACATTCACTGTCGTGTAACTGTATAAAACGTATATAGAGTGAGAGTATGGTGAGAGTGAGAGTGATTGCAGTTAGTGATGCACACTCTTCGTCAAAATTGGTGGATACCATTGGTGTGCCTGTTATATTAAAATAACTGTCTTATATTGAGCTGAGTGAGTTATTTGCATGTCATTAATACATGAATAGCCCTTTTTAAATTTTGTATGTCTGTCTGCCTGGCCGGGCTGGTCTTCACAATGGCTGAACAAATCGTAATGAAACTTAATTAACGAATAGCGAATATAACGAGTGTTCTAGGTTATATTTTATACGAAAAACTTTGAAGTCTGTGTAAAAAACTGAATAAAGTTACGGCATCTATACGTCCCACTGCTGGGCACAGGCCTCCCCTCATTTCTGAGAGGGTTTTAGGGCAAGGAAGTGTCCGCCACGCTGCCCCAATGCGTGTTGGCGAACTTCACATGTCTTCGAAATATTTTTTCTTATTCCTCAGACATGCAGGTTTCCTCACGATGTTTTCCTTCACCGCCGAGCACGTGGTAAATCAGCACTTAAAATTGCAATTAACAATTTCATTGGTGCCGCTCCGGATCGAACCTGGGTTATTCGCGTTCTGTTATATTTACAGCGAGCGTTAACCATCTGAGGTACCACGGCTCTAAAAAAATTAATAAAATTGATAAAATAGATTTCTACCTAGGCAAAGTCGAGGTGTGTATGCTGGTATTTATATAAAGTTAAATTTATAGGGCCATCTAGCAGTTGCATCTCATACGTCTTACTGCTGAGCACCGGTATCCTTTGTCAGAGGTTTATTGAGAAATTTGCCCACCTCGCCGCTTCTGTGCGTGTTGGTGGACCTTAGATCTCCTTGAAATGGAATAAATTCCATAGACAGTTTCCTTACAATGTTTTCCTGCACCGCTTTTAATAAATGTTATTGATAACAAGGCAACATTACAGTCGTTTTGTTATACCCATAGACATAATATATAATATGCACAGGTTATCTGATCTTCTGCCATCTCACCTGCGTGATGAGTGTATTTCGGCTTGCGTTAACAAAGATACAGTCACAGGATGGGTGAACACGTTTAAAGCCAAGTGAGATTCTTTTTCATTTTAATTAGTAAAATTATTTTTTTATCACTTAGTAGTCCACTAATCCTGGTATTAAACTTTAAGAAGTTTTTAAATTTTTTATAATATCATGTTAAAGAATCTTTATTTATCTTAAAGTATACCTAGTGTCGGATAAATAGACAGGAGATAAAAATAAATCAGATTTAGTATTGTAAACAAATAATTTGGCGAAAAACAAGAAAAACCATTAAGAAAAGGGAGATTTTTCAGTAAAAATATTTAATGAAAATTAAAACTGACTTATATTGATAAAGAAACTGACTGTAATAATCACTTCTTTAGGACCATTGTGAAAGCATACACTAAAAATCCATAAATTGAGTGAATGAATTGTAACCAACATTAAAAATATAAAGTGTTTTAGAAACAGAAACAGAAACTTCTTTTTATTCAATATTTTTTTTTTATAGGATAGGGTGACAATCGAGCACACAGTCCACCTGATGGTAAGTGGTTGCTGTGGCCCATAGACATCTACATCTATCCTCGATTACGAATCAAAATGCAGATGTGTTGTCACCCGTGAGAACTAAGATGGAATGCCTCGTTTCCAGTAAAATGGGTCGCCGGTTCTCTACACTCACCATACGAAATACAGCAGCATTAAGCTACTATTTCACGCTGGTATTCTGTGAGAGCGTGGTCCTTCCCCGGTCGAGCCGACCCATTCGTGCTACAACTATACTACTAATATAACTGCAGCATGGCTCTACCACGTATAAAATTTATGTTTATTGACATATTTATTATATAATTATTTATGCTTATTGACATTCACTATTTTGTTTATTTACCGCTAGTTCGGGAAAAAAATTGGGTAGAACCAGCAGGAAACCAAACAAATTTGAAATAGCTTGGTAGTGATCACCTCATTCCCAGGGTTTATTATCATCCATAAATTCCTTAATATTATAATAACCCTTTTTACACAAACTTAGTTTAATAAAGTTTTTGAATATTGAGCAGGTCAAATTGTATATTTTTCGCAGGAAGTTTCGTTAGGACGTTCATTTGCTAAGTTTCGCATGAAAAAATGAAATGGTATATAATCTGTAGGTAGTGCCTAGTTTTGGGATACCCCTCTTCCGCAAATCTGTACCCTGTCACTCCGTTTCCTTCACAGTCGGGCACATGGTAACTCAACACTTAAATTATAATGGAAAATTTCAGTGATGCCGATAGAGATATTAATGGCGAAAACCCAACCTCTAAGCTGTAATAATTAGCATAGAATATTATAATACACAACAAAATGGCTGTCAACCTTATTTTGTACGAGGATCGGCGTTTTTTTTTTTTCTTTTGTTCTTATATTCACAAAATATAAATAGTTTCAACTCAATGGATTTAGGATATGCTGCCTTATTAAAATTCCATTCCTCGCTGTTCTTTCGACACGTAATTATTGTACAATTTGCCATTTTTTATATAATTTGCATGCAGTGACGCTTGGACGCACGCAAAGCTTGCACGAAAATTGGAAACGATTGATTGTGTTGACATTTATAAGTGTGAATTGACATGTTAGTGGCTAAACGGGCTCCGCCCACTCTCCCGTTCTATTATGTGTGTATTATAGTATTCTATGATAATTAGTAATAAAAACACGACCATTATTCGATAATTTTTGTGGTGTTCATATTAATCACAACTTTCTTATTTATAAGTTATACTTTTTTTAAATTTCAAACGGCACTATCAAGATTCATCAGATTAACTTACAAGTTATTTCATTAATAGGTTAATAACAAAATATAACATTGAAACATCTTGCTCTAGGAAAGTGGCATTGCTGGTAAAAAGATTACACGAACTTGGATTTTCCTACAGCAGCTCACGACAACTTTGTGCAGGAGAATATAGGTTTGACCGTGTGTGTCCAAGGTATGTAAACTCTATATTTGAACGTATTATACTCGTATCTTGAATAAAACTATATATACGGATACTATCGCGTTTAATTCACTTATTTTAACTTATTTTAATTCTCGACGTTTCGGGTGCTTAACAGCACCCGTGGTCACGGTGGGGACTGAAATGTTTGACGTCCAAATGTCATAGCCTGATAACAGCCCAAAAATATTGCATTTGGCAACCGCCTTGCCTAGCGTGTCGACTATGGTAAACCCAAGTAACACATCAAAGCAGTATAACAGCCGACTTACAGCATTTCTGTAGCGTTTTCGCACTTTGAGTTAGTTCTATAGTAGCATTACAAATTTTATAAGGCTACTGTAATGCTTATTTTGCCACAAATTATATGGCTTTAAATCCTAAATAGGTTCACAATAGTTGTTTCATTGCATTACATGAGCATTATATTAGCATTATTGCTGTAAAAAAGGCTATCTATTGCATTATAGAAGCATTATTATGGTCAATAAAGTTGCCAATCGCATTAAAGAAGCATCATTACGATTAATGAAGTTGCCAATCTCATTATAGAAGTATTATACTAGCAATGTTATTCTGATAGCAAAGATGTTAATTACATTACAAAAGCATTATACTAGCATTAGAATATAGTTAAAGAATGATTGGAGCTATTTAAGTGTTCACAGTCAGAGCTTAAATAAACCCTACATCTTTGCAAAAACATCTCTATTATGCGGGTCTTAATGTTATGATACAATCAACGTTGTAATTTAACTACTTCATTTGTCTCGCAATATAATTTATGTACGAAGGAAGGCTGTATTACTGTTTGAGTAACACGACCATATTTGTTAGCATCAAAACAAAATTTATTAAGTTTTTAACTCTTTTGTTATTTCGTGCCTACAATGCAATGTAGTTTATTTTAAATTTCTGTACAAGATTCATTGAAAATTTTCACGTGGTTTTGACATAAAATGTTATATAAAGATACGTGTGAAATAAACAAAACAATTGTGTATCTAGTATAAAATTAATTTTGCATAATTAATATAATAGTATTGGTTGGGTAGTGTTAAATTATATTGTTATTATATAGGCCTATTGCTTATGTAAATTGAACCAAATGTTAATATTTTTTAGTTATAAAATATTTACAACATGGTGTCGGTCTATAGGACCCCCGTGAGTCTTTAAAAAGGCTAATTAATGCTGCCAGCAGTATACATACTCACTCGTGAACAATTATTAAGACAGAGGCCAGAGAGAAGACATTTGATGAACTACTGCAGTGTCATTGTCTATAAAGTAGTTCTATATGGGTTCATCGGTATACTAGTGGACTTGATTTAGACTGAAATAGTGTCATTACATGAACGCTACGCTAAAAAATTATATAATAAACAAAACATGTGTATGTTGTTTTTCCCTACAATATGGCCGACAAATGGTTTTACAAATACAGTAAAATGAATGTATGCAGCTTTTCGCATTAAAATAACTCACGTATATTTGATTAAGGATGCGTTTGCAAAATTCATAGGTGTAGAATCGAACATCTATATTAACACGGGTCACACACACAACCGTACGCACCGTTAGCTGCGAGAATCGTAGTCAAATGAAATCATTTTGATACTTTGAAAGTTGGATTTTGTTTTCTTATTTATTTTACCAACAAAAATATTTCTTATTTTACTAGATAATACTTAGATACAAATACCTACTCCAGAGACTGCTAGGCACTGGAAGCCCTCTACTAGAAAAAAGATGTGGGTTGTGGAATTTGGGCTGATTTTGTTAGTTATGATGAGAATTTACCTCCGGACTTGATGCAGTGACCTGAAGATGTACTTCAGTGAATGCTACTGGAACTCCTCGACGAGTAGAACTAGGTGTGACGAGTTTGGGCTCATTTTGTTACTTATGATGGTGATGATGGAGTTCCAGTAGCAGTCACCTATGTAAACCGTCAGGTCACTCCTTAAAGTCAGAGATGAATTTATAAACTGTGATTATAAAAATAATAATATCTTACATTGTCTAGTATTTATTCTATTTCTAAATAAATATTTCTAGACTAGATACACCTTTTTCTTTTTATGGTAATGCAATACTACACTAATATAATATAATATTTATTGGCACATATAATTAAAAAAATGTAATGAAGAAAAACTAAAACTAATAATTTAAAATGTCACAAAGTCCTACTCATGTCTACACTACCCATGGTATTGTGCCAAGAACCTAGGCCGTAGCTCTTCTGCTGCTGCTGGATCATCAGCAGCGATGACCAGTCGCGAATACAGTTCCCTTAGGAACTAGGAATTACTACTACTACTAGGAATTTTACTGCACATGGACCCCACGGACCGATAGTCTCTATAGCAAATAATACAAATTTCAATCAAAATCTTTGTGAAATAAATCAAAACAGGTACCAAACATAAAATAACCCTTATTGCAATAAATTAAGATCCTTCCGTATTAGCAAAATATGTGAAAAACTAAGGATCTGTTTTTATTTTATTTTTGACACTATTTGTGCCATTTTGATAAAAAATACATACTTTTTTAATTGAATATGCCTACCTATAGTACTTTTAGAAATCTTAAAATATGTTGATAATAGAAAAAAAACCTAAACTCAAGCCAGTATCGTTAATTTTGTGGAGAACGGCAACGGAACATCGTTTTTACAATATAAAAATCTATTATTTTCAACAACGGTGGTGCATTATAATAGTACAAGTTTATGCTATTAAACAGCATTAGGCATTATCTTACTACTTTAAAAATGTTATTGTAGACTCTAAGGCACTAAAAACAACTGAAAACTGTATAGCGGATTTACTTATTATAATGGTTCATGTATAATTTATGCTATTAACCAGCATTAAGCATTTATTTACTACTTAAAAATGCTATTGTAGATCCAAATGCACTAAAATCAATTGAAAGCCTTACAACTGTGTTTTGGTTTGCTGCACTAAAACTAAGGCTCTACAAAAGCATTTTTACATGCCATTACCCTACCGTTATACAGTGTAAAGCATCATAATAATGGCTTTGAAATGCCATGATGTCAAGATGCTCGGTGAACTTGTGAGTTTATACGGACCTTAAGTTCCACATATATTTTGTATTCGTTTGTTAAAGTGCTTTCTGTTACTTGGGAATTTATGGCGAAAGCCTGTGTTCAGCAACGGACTTTTGAGAGAATGATGACGGTATTACTTATTAACTATTGTGACACTATTCTACTTCATCCTATTCATCGTGTGATAGACAGCGTAAAAGGGTTCATCGCCCCAGTAGATGTTTATTATTGTCACAAGTAAAACTGCATTTCAATACTCTTTGCCAATGTAAAAAGTGTCATTGTAAAGACACATTAGACTTACTGTACATGGAGCCGTAGCCGAACCGCTGTCATACCGGCGCTGCACCGCAAGTTAGTGCAATATTTTTTATACTACAAGCAAAAAGAGTGTATGGGCCGCCTGCGATCCTACTGCAACAGCACCGTAGCCACGTTCACGCGAATTTTGCTTGCGGTGCGGTGGCGGTGCAGTGGCGCGACTACGACTCCATGTACAGGAAGCGTTTGCCTATTTAATGCAATTTCGTCTAATGTATAAAAATACTGTACGTGTTATTGAATAAGACAGTATAATGTCGGCGTTTAGAAGTTTTGTTGTATTTCTTACCAGTTTCACTATATTCAACCATAAAAATTACAAACTTATTTTATGTAATTTGAAATAATTATAGAGGCATTGGAACAGCTTTAGAGTGGTATTATAACAAGTTCGTATATCTCTGTTTTCGAAACAAAATTGACCCAAGCGAATTCCTCGTTATTGTCCAAAAGATGCCTAATGGTGCCCTTATGGTCGATCGTCTTCATCTTTTGGACGCAAAGGAAGGAATGTTCACTTCATTCGGTGTCCTCCGCGCCTGCATACAGGGAAATTGTGCTCATACTTACGGCTCATGCTACTGTTAAAATTTTCAAACTTGTCTATTGTCTTTATAGATTTATAACTCTTCGTCCACCGGATAATGGGAGCATCGGACAATTAGAGCTGGTCAAAAGCGGAGTTATAGTTCTTCAGGTATTAAACTTTTTTTTTAATTAAGGATTAGTATTTAGTATGACAAGAATACGACAAGTGTAATAATAAATAACTCTGATTCAATTTTAAAACTTTGTCGTCCTGATGTTAGGACCAGACAATAGCCCCAAACGTTTCGCATCTTTTAACGATGTTGCTCTGGGACGCGTTATATACCTACATGTCAGTTTTCTAGACAGTTTTCCATCTCTTTGTTATTTCGCATTTGCTTACGTTTGGTATTACCTACTTCCATGGGTTTCACGTTGTCTAATAGCTTTGTTGGATTCTTTGACACAACCACACTACGGCGTCATGAGACATCATCATGAGCTCAGGAATCGGGAACTATATGCTCGCCAAATTGTATTATTTTTGCTGCTAACAGCAGTCATGAGCTTACTACTTAGATAACCTTAGTAAGATATTTTAAACGCATCTTAAGCGTTCCTTTTGCATGGTTTTACAGAACTATTAAATTCTTTCATCTAAGTGGACTTTCACGACACCTGCAAGACGTGTTGCCTTGACGGACGAAATATCTTAACATACATAGACGTTAGACAAATTGTTTTTTAGTGTTTCGAGATGAAATTAATATCGTACCAGAACAAGAGAGAAAAGATATCGCCTTGTAGGCGTCCTTACCTGTACACCTTACCTTACCAGTCTTTGTTGCTGTGAACTACTCTCTATACTATATCTCTGGATGTAGGTGTATACGTTATACAACAATAGAAATATATCATAATTTTCTGCACTATCAACGTAGGTTATAACTACGAATACCCATATCTCTTCATCATTAATTTACTATATTTTATCAACATAGGAACGAGAATTCTGCGAAGGCGCATCCACTTTGTGCCGTGCACTACGAGTGAACGAGTTACAAGGGGTGGTCGCTCAAACGCATGCGTCGTCGCCTCGCTGCTCTGCATACTTGGCAGCTCAACTCCACGAGCTAGCGGCCGTGGTGAAGGCCAAGACACCGCCCGCGCCCGCCATTCCCGAACTTGGCAGGCTCGTTGTGTTCGGTGCCGGGGACAAGTAAGTGTTTAGAATGTATTTTTTATTGCCTTCATATGGTACATATTGATTGATAAACGAGGCTATAACAACATGCTGATAGTAGAAATTATGCCAAACTCAAATTCCACAGGACTGGCAATAGGGAGCCAAATCTCAAATGTGAGGATTTTAAGCTCATCAACCCACTTGCCTTTTTTATAGTATAGGATGACAAACGAGCACACAGTCCATCTGGTGGTAAGTGGTTGCTGTGGCCCATAGACATTTACATTTAGCCTCAATAAAAAGCAGATGTGTTATCACCCCTGAGGACTAAGATGGAACACCTCGTTTCCAATAAAAAGTGTATCTGGTTCTCTACACTCACAATACGAAACACAGCAACATTAAACTGCTATTTCACGCTTGTATTCTATGAGAATATTGTGTATTTGTATCTATTATATTGTAAAAATATTCAAGAAGAACTGCCTGGCGTGGCGATTAAAATAAAACGCGTTAAAATCCGCAAAATTAGTTTAGAACTTTCCCTATCGATGAATGCAAATTGCATTGATTGATAGGGAAACCATTCGGGGTGCGAAAAAATTAAAACAAAATACTTTTAATGAGAAGTAAGCCAACTTATAATCATTAAAATAACTATTCAAAAAAAAAACGAACCTTCATCCCTGTTTTTCCACTCTTAGGGTCGGAATTTTTCTCAAAATTGTGTGAAACCCTTCACCTCATCCCTGAAGTACATTCTATTTAATAAAAAAATCTTTAAAATCGGTTTACAATTTAAGATGTTGGTAACAAAAGAAAAACAGTCAAATTGAAAATTTCCACTATTTTCAACGTGGTAGAGTCATGCTTCAGTTATATTAGTAGTGTATAGCTGTGTACTCGAGTCCTCACGGGTGACAACGCGTTTGCATTTTGATTCGTAATCGAGGATAGATATAGATGTCTATAGGCCACAGCAACCACTTACCATCAGGTGGACTGTGTGCTCGTTTGTCACCTTATCCTATAAAAAAAATTTATGAAGTTGACTAAAACCATTTTGATACTCTTCATAAAAAGATGGATATTTTCAAATGTAGATTATGTGAAGTTCCATAAATCACAATGTCAGACACTTTGCATGTGTAACTACATAGGTTGGTAGATTTTGTAAAATATATGAAAAAACACGCGAGGCTGAGGTAGGTAAAGTAAGTTTTCGTCCCGATACCATCCACACCATCTGGATCCTTGGCGGTCCACCACTGTACGTTTCACAAGGAGTTTTCTTCCACGTACAACCTCTCTGTGGAATAGTTTACCACCGGCGATTTTTCCGGACCGATACGACCTGGGGACCTTCAAGAAAAGAGCTTACTCCTTTCTAAAGGGCCAGCAACGCACCCGCAATTCTCCTGGTGTTGCAGTTGATCATGGGCGGCGGTAGTCACTTAACATCAGGTGAGCCGCATGCTCGTTTGCCCTTTCTTCTATAAAAAAAGGGGGATATTTTGTTGCTGGCATTCTGACCATCCATAATTTCATTTCTAACCAGTAACAAAATCTATGAATCCAACTCGTCCATAAAAACCGCATCATGGATACTGGTAGTTAGCTGCCGGTGGTCAGTCCAGCCTATTTTTGGTTTTATATTTTGTTGTTAGCTCTTTGAGCAGCTCTGATGTCATTTCTGAAAACATGAAAAAAACAACGAAATAGACTGCATTTCGCCTAGAAACACCTCATAGAAAGTTATCATTGACACTGGTACCGGCTAACAGTTGTCAGGTCCGGCCAATTATTAGATTTTCTTGTTTTTTTTTTAAATATAGTAGTAACTTTTTGTAAAACCGGTATTTGAGCTACAAAATCGATTTTTCAGCGACTGATAAGTATCCATTTAGCTATAAATCCGCGAGTGCAACTTACTTAGTTTTTGCCGACTTTTCTCTGTTAGCTTGATAGAGCTGTATAACATTGCATGCGGAGGGGTGATAGGTTCCCACATGCAGGATATCGACTTCCCTGAGTGCTGTGTCGACTGCGTTATTTATCTGTTAATTTCACTAGTCGTTATCCCGCTTCTGGGAAGTACCCGTACACAATGTGTATACCGACCGAGTTATCGACCAATGAAAAAGTTTGTTGTTTACCATTTTGTGTGGACTATGTATATATGATATAAACGTGTCCTCAGAGTAGGCAGCTACGTGAGGTCGCTCCGCGAGCTGGGCGTGGAGGCGTCCGCGGCGCCGCAGTGGGGCGCGCCGGTGTGCGTGTTGGGCGAGCCGGTGCACGGCGACTCGCCGCTGGTGGCCAGCGCGCTTGCCGGCGTCGTGGCCGCGCTCGCCACGCCGCCCAACTCCTACTCCGCAGTCACCGACCCCATAGACCTGGTCTGCGGCCGGGGAGGGGACCTCGCGATGCTAGAGGTCAACTAGATCTATATCATATTTAAATAAATGTGTCTTTGACTGCCTCGTTGGTCTAGTGGTTGTAGTGGTGCGACTGCTGATCATGAGGTCCTGGGTTCGAATCCCGGGTCGGGCCAAAAATATCAACTATTGAGTTTTCCGTCAAGAAATTCTCAGTAATTGCCCGGAGTCGGGAAGTTGGCAGTGTATCACCTCCGTGCCTCGGAAAGTACGCAAAGCCATTGGTCCTGCGCCTGATCTTTCTCCGGTCGTATTGGTTTACCGTCCCATCGTATTATGAGAGTTAGGGAATAGAGAGTGCTGCTATGCTTGCGCGTACACTTGGGCACTATAATCCTGTCCTGCGCCGATGGCTAGCCTACGTTGAGGCAGACCGCCGTGGCCGAAACTCGGTCTGGAGGACATTATTATTATTGTTAAATGTTTCTTTATTCATCCCATACGTATACGTTTTTATACCATTCATGTGATTACGATGAAAGTTTGGTGAGTTGTTGATGTGTGCGTACAAAAAGCATTGCAACGCATACCGGGTTCTGCCAGCGTTTTATAATAAACTTACAACCATCCGAACAGTCCACCTGATGTCAAAGGGTTATCATAATTCAAGGACATGCGCAATCACAGAACCGAAGATTTTTTTTTATCTCCGTGCTACTACTACCTGTGCCTGTAATCAAGTTTTTGCTATCCATTTCGATCAACTCTCTTTTTCATCGACCGAGAAACGACCGTTAATGAGCTACTGCGTTGTGTATAAAGTAGAAGCTTACAGTTTCCATTATAGCCTATTAAAAGCCACTGCTGAACGGGATAAGAGTAGTGGATATTCTTACACCGCCACTATATATAAGAATGTAATAATAATATTTTTTTTTTTGGTAGTAAGTAGTGTATGTAAAATTGTTTAAGTCCACTGCTGTATAAACTTGCAATGTTATAATTTGCCGTAATCAAAACGCCTGTAAGACGGATTGACAATTTTAACACTAAAATACACAATTAGCTCGTCTCACGTGCTAACTTTGAACGCATTCGTCCTAACACACCTGTGACTGAGGTATGCTTACGTCACATCCGGAGCTAGTATCGGAATCTTCGGCGTATCGTACGTATAGAATAACGTGCAGTTTCGTGGTCACTTGGAAGAGAAAACCAAATTAATCTCTAAAAAGCTTGGCGTGCTCTGCAGAGCGGGACAGTACTTTATACTGGCACACCATTCACCAGCGCACATCGCAACAAAGCTCGCAACACCATCCATGCCATTTGAATAATTGACGGTCCACCATTGTACAATTTACAAGAAGTTTTCGTCCTCGCACAACTTCCTTATGGAATCGACTATCACCAGCAACTTTTCCGAACCGATACGACTTAGGGACCTTCAAAAAAAGACCTACTCTTTTAAAGTTGGCATGCACTGCTTTCCTTGTGTTGCCACTTACTTATATCATCAGTTGAGTCGCAATCTCTTTTGTCCCCTCTTGTATAAAAAAACCTATATTATTATCGAAAGGAAGATAGACGCCGGCATATTATTCCACTTGAATGTCCAATATTGGAAAGGAGAGGTAGGAATTAAGGCATGGAATTCCTGCGCACACTCTCCTAAATGCTTCCATAGAATACCGGCTAGCTATCGGCTAATGTAATTATATACAATATAAAAATATAGGCAATAGGTATTAGCTATCGGTAATGTTAAGGGCAAATCACTATACATCATTTCACTTTGAAAACTAACACGAATTTCTTTCAAACTAATGATCCATTTAAATAATGATTCTGTTATTAAAATAATTTCCAGGTTCTCACAGAGTCGGAGATGGATGTGGAAGGCAAAGCTCGTGTGCAATCAATACTCGAAGAACAAAAAAAGACTTTGAAAACACTAATGTCGAAACCACAGGTATTGGAAAAATTTATTCCGCCTAATCTTTTGATTATTTCATATGTGCCAAAAGAAGCATTTCTTTATATTTACCTTACATTAAATGGTCCATAATGTTAAGTACGTTTTCAAATAGTGATTTTTCATCAAAAAATACATTATTCAACTCATTCTAATTTGAATGTGCCGTGTAGTGGCGGTTAAGAATATCCACTACCTCATATCTTCCCGTGGGTGTCGTAAAAGGCGACAGAGGGACACAGGCAGGAGCTGGGCAGCAGCATCTTCCTTATAACAGCAACTGTACGACATAAAAAACTGCAGTTGCCAACCCGCTCGCCAAGCGTGGCAACTATGGCAATATACCCCCCATGAACAAATACACGAATAGACGGCCCCCAGTCCCCGGCGGCCCCGCTATTCCTGGCTACGGTGACGACCATGGTAACGGCGGGGCAGTGGGTGCTAAGAATCTCCGGTGGAGGTTCGGTTGCCACCTACGACGACTCGACCTGGCAACATTTAACGCACGCACCCTGAGGACTGGCGAGAAGATCCTGGAGCTGGAAGAAGAGATAGACAAGTTGCGCTGGAATATTATAGGATTATCCGAGGTCTGAAGAGAGGGGGAGGACACGGTGATTCTCGAATCCGGCAACTTGTTCTATCACCGGGAGGGCGACCATCTGTCCCAAGGAGTGTCGGATTTATCGTCCACAAGTCTCTCGTCAACAACGTTGTAAAGATTGGGAGTGTGTCGACGAGGGTCGCGTACCTGATACTCAGAATCACTAAACGGTATTCGCTGAAGGTCATACAGGTTTACGCACCAACCTCGGCACATCCCGATGAGGAGGTGGAGGAAATGTATGAGGATATTTCCAAAGCCATGCATTCCTCCAAAACCCACTACACGGTGTTGATGGGATACTTCAACGCAAAACTAGGCACAAGAGAAAACGGTGAGCTGAAGTTAGGGAAATTTGGAGTAGGGCAACGGAACCGAAGGGGCCAGCAGCTGGCCGACTTTATGGAGAAAGCGGGACTCTTTATGATGAACTCTTTCTTCCAGAAGCGGCCCCACAGGAAGTGGACCGGTCGAGCCCCGACGGTTCGACAAAAAATGAGATTGACTTCATTATGACGACCAGACGCAAACTGTTCAGTGATGTCTCAGTGATCGCAAGAGTGAAAACTGGCAGCGATCACCGAATGGTTAGAGGCACACTGAACCTAAACGTTAAGTTGGAGAGGTCTCGTCTAATGAAGTCAACGCTCCGTCCCCCTCGTGCTCTAGTACAGAATCCCGAAAACTTTCAGCTCGAGTTACATAACCGCTTTCAGTGCCTAGAAGATTGCAATGCAGTGGACGATATGAATGACAAGCTCGTTGAAACTGTCCATGCGGTCGGAGCTAAGTTCTGCAAGACCCGCCGCAGAAGAACACAAAAACTCTCCGATCACACTCTTAATCTCATGGCTGTTAGACGGGAGATGAGGCTGCAATCGTCAACAGATTTGACAGCATACAGGCAACTGAACAGCCAGATCTCCAAATGCATGCGGCGAGACTTACGCAACTTTAATACTGCTCGTATTAAAGAAGCGATCGAGCGGAACCAGGGCTCCAAAGTCTTTGCCAGTAAGAGCCAACTGTCAAAGCTGAAGACTGAGTGTGGCAGCATCGTTTCCGGGACACCTGAGATTTTGAGTGAGATTGGGAGGTTCTATGGGCAGTTGTACACATCATCGTTTGAGCCCCACGCAAGTGTGAGTAATGATCCAAGAGCAAGTCTTATCCGACACTATTCAGATGATATCCCGGACGTCAGCCCAAGCGAGATTAGAATGGCTCTCCAGCACCTTAAAAACGGCAGGGCCCCAGGCGAGGATGGAATTACAGCGGAGCTTCTGAAAGCGGGTGGAACACCGGTACTTGAAGTCCTTCAGAAGCTCTTCAATTCCGTCCTCCATGGCGGCACTACTCCAGAGGCGTGGAGCAGAAGTGCGGTGGTCTTGTTCTTCAAGAAAGGTGACAACACCCTCTTGAAGAACTACAGACCGATATCCCTTCTGAGCCGCGTCTACATGCTGTTTTCGAGAGTCATTACGAATCGTCTCGCACGCAGACTCGACGACTTCCAGCCTCCCGAACAAGCCCGTTTCCGAAAAGGCTTCAGTACCATAGACCACATACATACCCTGCGGCAGATTGTACAGAAGACTGAAGAGTACAATCTGCCACTTTGCCTGGCGTATGTGGGCTATGAGAAAGCCTTTGATTCCGTCGAAATTTGGGCGGTGCTACAGTCCCTTCAGCGGTGCCAAGTTGACTGTCGGTATATCGAAGTGCTGAAGTGTTTGTATAGTAGGGCTACGATGGCTATCCGAGTACAGACCAGAGCTCGAAACCTATCCAACTGCAGAGAGGTGTTCAATCCAACAAATCCAAGACAGGGTGACGTTATATCCCCGAAACTCTTCACCGCTGCATTGGAAGACGTTTTCAAGCTACTGGACTGGAAAGGATACGGTATTAACATCAATGGCGAGTACATCAAATATTACTCACCTTCGATTTGCCAACGATATAGTCCTTATGGCAGAATCGCTGGAGGACTTAAGCACTATGCTCAATGACCTTAATAGTGCCTCCCAATGGATAGGTCTTAAGATGAACATGGACAAAACAAAGATCATGTTTAATGTCCATGTTACACCTATACCGGTAGTTGTTGGGAGCACTATGCTCGAAGTTGTTGACGAGTACGTTTACCTGGGACAAATAGTCCGACTAGGTAAGTCCAACTTCGACCGAGAGGTCAATCGATGGATTCAACTCGGCTGGGCAGCGTTTGGGAAATTACGACATATCTTCTCGTCAGGTATACCTCAATCTCTAAAAACTAGATTGTACAACCAGTGCGTGTTGCCAGTGATGACTTACGGATCTGAGACGTGGTCCTTCACTGCTGGCCGTATGAGGACGCTCAAGGTCGCTCAGCGAGCTATGGAGAGGGCTATGCTCGGAGTTTCTCTGCGTGATAGACTCAGAAATGAAGATATCCGCAGTAAAACCAGAGTGACCGACATAGCCCAACGGATTAGTAAGCTGAAGTGGCAATGGGCCGGCCATATAGCTCGAAGAACCGATAACCGATGGGGAATAAAGGTTCTCGAGTGGCAGCCTCGTACCGGTAGGCGTAGTGTAGGGCGACCCCCCCACTAGATGGAGTGACGACCTGGTAAGATATGCAGGAAGTTGATGGATGCAGGTGGCTCAGGACCGTGCTTTGTGGCATTACTTGGGGGAGGCCTATGTTCAGCAGTGGACTTGTGAAGGGCTGTAATGATGATGATGATGATGATGATGAATTTGAATGTTAATAAATATAAATTGTAAATATTGCGAGTTGTAAAAATTTTATTATGTTATTATAATTTAATTTGTAATAGTGTTTGTTAAAAATATACATGCACAATTTGAATTTTTTTATCGAATAATGGAAATCCCGTGTTTTTGATAATAGAGAAAGACCTACATATGACTGAATTAATCCTAATGTTAACCGTATAGTGGCGGTGCAACAACACCCACACATCGTCCCGTGGGTGTCATAAGAGATGAAAGGAAAAAAAAACAGGAGCTGTCCAACTCCTGGCTTATGAGGCAATCTATGGCGGAGTCATATTATGTTCAGCAGTGGACTTTTGATAGGTTGTGATGATGATACTTATAATGATAGATTATGAAGGTATGAGCCTTTAAAATAATGACAAAAAAGAAAATACCTTTTTATCATTGTAGAAATATTGTTTTTGTTTCATTTGTTTTTATGCAATAATATCGTTCTCTCAGAATACATCACAATAATACCTTTGTCAGATCCAGTTAATATTGTACGAAACGCACTCGGCACTGGAGGCAGAGAACCAGGCGCAAGTGACCCGCGCTGTAGCCGAAGCAAACAGATTGGCACGGGAACGACATTCTCTACTCAAAAAGAAGCATAAGGACCACGTTAATGTTAGTGATTACTAAGTGTTATGAAACAAAAATGTTACAGTAAGTGATTATTATTTGTTATGAATTAAAGTTAAATAAACGAAAACTTTTTCGTTGCAGATACAAAAACCAAAAGAAGAATCTGAGTCGTCCCCAACAAATTCCTCAACATCAATAGACCCAACAATGTCGCAATCAGACTTCAAAGATGACCAACTCTCGGTTGACAACTCCAATGATCCTTCTAATATAGAATCGGAAAGAGTTTCTCCTCCGTCAACCACACGAGCGAGACCAGAAAGTGGAAAAACTGTTTTAAACAAACAAACGGATAAAGATAATGCTGACCATAGAAAAAAATCTGGCACGACCAAAGCCAGACCCATTCCTGAAGATCTAATCGCTGAAGAGGCATTTCCACGAGATCCTGACAAAGACAGTCCTGATGTTTACGTAAGTGTTTTCTACCTACGAGTAGTTTACTAAGAGACGACGGCGTTTGTAATAAATTTTGAAAATATAGAAACTGCTAAAGGAGCTTCGATTGTCGTAATTAAATCAAAAGGAGAAGTAAACCCATTGAGACTTGAAGCGTTTTTAACTATTCATTACATGTAATATAAATAGAAATAAATCTTCAAAATCTATGTTTTACATATTTTGAATCACAGCTTAATAATATTTCTAATTCAAATAATAATTCCCTGAAAACAACTCAATAATAAAAAACTGCCAAGGCAAATAGCCCCCTCCCTCTTGGAGGCACTATAATATGGAGGACTATGTCCAATAGTGGACTTCCGATAGACTGTAAGGATGATGATATGATGACTTAACGTACAGAAAAAATAAATAAATGAATGTTAAAGGCAAGCAGATCATAACATACTTTAGCATCATAAAATAAGTTTATATTCTATGTGCAGTACGGTGGCGACGTAAGAGTCCACCACTTGGTCCCATAGGTGTCGTAAGAGGCCACTGTTATATTTCAAAAAGATCTCTCGGCTTATGAGTTGTGACAGATGGAGGATTTAAACATCCCGTTAAAGCCAGACGTAAAATACTCAGATCGGCGACGGGAAGCGGCGCGGCGCGGCGACAAAAGTGCAAACATCTAGCGTACGATGTCTTCTGCGAGGGCTTTCTGTCCAGCAGGTCTCGGGCCTCGTGGCGTTCCCCATTACCCGGGCAATCATCACGGCCCACTGCTATGGGCCGGTGCTGGGAGCCGTTCAGGAACGCCAAGTTGTTGGCTTTCTTCTTGGTTGGCGTATTTCGCGCCCCTAAGTCGGTGCTACCGAAAGGTCAGCAGTCTCAAAGCCCCACGGAGTTTCTTAGAGGACGGGTCTCGACGTAGGGTCAATTGCGCCGACATGTGTGCTCCTGAGTAGCAGCACTCCGGGCCTCAAGTGCTCCTTCCTAGTTGTAGGTGATGGCCTAGTACCTAGGCATTCATGACGTATCTCGCGCCTCTGGGAAGGGATCTGCCGAAGGGTTAGCGACTTCAAGGTCCCACGGAGACGGATCTCGACGCGGAGCCGATGTCACCAATAGGCGTGCGCTCTCCTGACAGCAGCACGCCGAGCCTCCGGAGCTCGCTTCCCAGCATGTTAGACGAAACGCAGCGTTGGGGATATAACATCCCAGGAGGGGTCAGGGGCGTTCTCGAAGCTTGTCGCAAGCCAAGTTCGTCCCACGGCACGTACACCCACTGCGAAGCGACACACTGCCCCCCTCCTTTCCAGGAGGAAGTCGACGACTGGCGGAAGTGACCGGCGGCGAACGCGACTATGCAAACATCTGGTATTACATTCGTCAATTAGCTTGTTAAGCGTGACGATTGAGACGACTCTTCCCTTCAATGAGATAGACCTCATGTCCAACAGTGGGTATTTAGGGACTGATGAAGAAATAAACACTTATGTAAGTTACAGACCTATGTTAGATGTATTAAAAACTTGCGATTGTATATTCCAACAGGTTCCTAACTGCGACTTGTTTGAAGTTCAAACGTTGCCGGGCTTAGGAAATGGATTGGATATCAACTACATTCTGGATAGAGACGGTTGCTACCTCGGTCTCATTCAAAGGAAGGTAGAAATTGTTTCATAAGTTACATATCTAATACTTTTCCTTATTACTTTAGAGTAAATAATAAGTCGAATCCATCTTTCTTCTTGAGATGAGTTTTTGAAATTTTGTTCCTGAAGTGTGCAGCATGCAATTTTTTAAGGTCATGTTCAACAACTATGCAGCACAGTATGTAATGTTAAAGCCATTTTGGACAATTGTGCGGTGTGCAATTTTAAATGTGCAATTTTAAAGGCTGTTCGACCAATTGTACAGTATGCAATTTCAAAGCCATGTTCGACAATTGTGTATTGTGCAATTTTAAAGTTTGTTCGGTATAATTAAAATTGTCCACTTTTGGAGGTTGGCACATAGGAATACGGGTGATTTCATTGTAGTTGTGTCTTACCCGGTGTAGTGTCCGGGGTCGTGTGCCACGCCATTCGGCGTAGTGAGTATGAGCGAATTTTGTGGTATTCTACACTCACCATACGAAAAACAACAGCGTTAATTTGCTATTTTACGCTGGTATTGAGCACTGTCCTAACCCGATCGAACCGACCCCATTCCTGCTACAACCATACATGCATAGTGATATGAGCATATGAGTCTCTTAGCATTGTAGGGACGATTTGTCGTTATTTTAAATCGCAGTTAAAAATAAAAGTGCTATTGTGTGTAAACCTATGGCAATGGTTCGTACGTTGTAATGGTTGTACTTCTCGCCGTTAAAAAGAATTAATAATTCTTTTAAGCTATTCCTATCGCGGGCCTTGAGTGCGGGAAAATCCAGAAATTTCGTAACGAAAAAAACCTCACGCTCTCCGACGGGCACGGAGGTGTGGCTTGAAGGCCGTGCATTGTCTAACGATGGTCTAACTTCGTTTCTTTTCCTCAGTCTTCGACACGGTGTTTGTGTATAAAGTGTTTTGAAATTTTGAATATGAATGAACAAAGCGCATTTATTATTAATGAAGAAGTCACGAAAAAATAGTGAAAAAAAATGAGTGAGTACTCTATATACATACTCATTATCACAAATGCAGTACTAATTTTGAATTGAAAATATAATACTGCTATAAAGATAACCTAAATTTTTGATATTAAAATGAGCGATATTAAAAGTAGCCCTCTTTATATACACACAAACACACACACGCGTATAGTTTAAATTCTCAATTTAGATTCTCAATATGTATATATATACTCGATTAACCGGGCTAATTGTTGCTGTTAGGGATTCGGATAATCGAAAATCCGGATGATCGAATGTATGAAGAAAAGCGGGTTTTGTGCATTTGTAGTACATATGTACATACATAATGTTTATTAAAAACAACAATTTCAACGAAAATCAATGTTTATTAAGAAATTATTATTTTTTAATAAACATTGATTAAATTCCATGAAGAGATATAAATCTATATAACCATCCGTTACTTGCGACAAACGAGCCGCCGTCACCTAATTTTTTATTTAACTGTAATGCTTTTTCACAAAGCAAAGGGCCATATATCATTTGCTCAGTTGATCGTTTTTGTAAAAACCAACAATACAAAGCGTGAAATACAAAGCGTCTTCTAATTGCCAATTTACTCGCGAACATAGGTCCTTATGTCCGGGACGGGGGTTTGTTAGCGCCTGATAGTAGATCGTCTTATCTCAAGCGGTGTGAAGCGACGATTAGTGAGGTGCGGGAGGGGGAGGCTAGCTGCATTTGTGCGTGCGGTCGGTCACCCCTGTTGGCATCGAGCCGAGCTAGGGAGCAGACGGCGGGGCCGGGCTGCACCCGGCCCGCCGCTAGGGCGCGCTCCAAGCTAGGCACGCGGCGCCTGCGCCGATGACGTTCTCCGGTCGCATTATAGGGGTCGCGAGAGTTTTTGCGCGAAGCCGGGTTGTTCATATATTGAAAGTCTCCTTGTTTTGTCTTAGACTTATGTTAATAGAGCGTGCCATTTGAACTTAAAGACAATTAATTGGACAATAAATAATAAGTGACAAATCTTGCCGTGGAGCGTGGAACTGAGTAGTTGCGCGTCTTGTTAATATAATTGCCGTACGGCCGCCCTGACGTATGTACTGCGCGAACCTGAGTTTTTTGCGACGCGGTCCGGTGATACAGTATTTTTCACAAATAGTGAGTTCGTTATAACGCGGGTTCGGTTAAATCTGGTTGAATTTGATTGGATTAACCTAATGACAATTGACTTAACTATAATTAATGAGTGATAAACGAGCGTAATTTCCTAGACTCTGAAGTTTCTGTGACGGCTTGCCCCTGCGATGGATCCCAGTTAATAAAATACCCCCATTTCCGTTTTTGTTTTTTTCTTTTAAATTTCGTTTTAGGTTTTTATGTGAGTAGTGTTAAATTTGTCAATTTTCTGTGTACTCTGTAACAAATAACTATATAGAAAAAAATGTGAAAATGACATTTCGCCATTTTTGTTTGTGTACTGGTTAGGAACTCGATCAAAAATTTGATCATTTTTCTGTTTTTATACGTTATTTCTAAAAAAATGTGAAAATGACTATTCGCCATTTTTGTTTGTGTACTGGTTAGGAACTCGATCAAAAATTTGATAATTTCTCCGTTTTTATACGTTATTTCTAATGTTATTTTACATCAAATTAATTGTGGAGATATTTTCTTTAGGAAATATGTATCATTACGACGATTCAAAAACGTTTACATATAATAATTTACCTCGAAATTAAGGATCGTTTATTGATTATATGTTGTTTAAAAAGTATTCTTATCAGTTTTTTTTTGTGTTAAATGGATGCTAAATATAAAAGAATGCTTCAGTATTGATAGCAATTTATTAACGAAATATCTGTTGAGATGTGTCTAGAAATTATTAATACTTATTTTTATTTATTTATTAAAATAATAAATAAATAAAAATAAGTATACATTTATCTATATTGAGTACTAGTTATTCCCCCGCGATCTCGCCCGCGTGGAATATGGATTTCATGGGTTTTAATTTTTTTTGCGCGGAACCCTAATTCTTTTTCTAAAACAAAAGTAGTTCAAGTTATTCCTTATATCATCAGCTATCTGCCAGTGAAAGTCCCGTCAAAACAGATCCAGCTGTTTCGGAGATTAGCTGGAACAAACAGGCAGACAGACAGACCGACAGAGAGACAAAAAATTTAAAAATTGTGTTTTAAGCTATTGCATAGCTTCTATCGCGGGCCTTGAGCGCGGGGACCGAATCCAGAAATTCCGTAACGAAAAAAACCTCACGCTCCCCACTCCGACGGGCACGGAGGTGTGGCGTTGAAAGCCGTGCATCGTCTAACGTCGTTTCAGTTCGGCAGACTTCGGCACTCGGCAGAGTTCGGCACGGTGTTTGTGTGCGTGCGACTAGACGTATGCGTGTACACTAGCTGCTAACTCAATGATAAAAAATTCCTGAATAACCTACATGTATTGTAAGATATTAAAAATATTTTAAACAATATTAACTTCTCATTTATTCAATAAGAGAAAAAAAATTGTTTTCTTATCGGTCACCACGCTCAAAAAATTTAACTTGATTTAATATCAAAGACTTAACTGCGTAAATAAAATAAATAAATAATTATAATTGCATAAGTTGATAAAAAATGCTATGCAATAGCTTTACCGCGGCAGTCACCGAGTGCCACACGTATATTTTTTCTCTATTAAAGACTGAACCGCACCAGAGAACCGGATACCCTTTTTATTGGAAACTAGGCATTCCACCTTAGTCCTCAGGGATGACAGACCATGCATCTGCATTTTGATTGTTAATCGAGCATAATAGGGTATTTTTTTTAATTCAACCTTTCAATGTAGATAACACTGTGTGACCATCTGTTTGATACATTACAAGTGCAGTTTAGTCTTTACTAGCGACATCTGGTGAGCAGAAGATTATTAGCCCTCATTGGCTTCATAGTCTTCTGGGAAGCCATGTACAGCAGTGGAGCTGTGATGGGTTGCAACGATGATGTTGATGATGAGTCACGGCGCAGGAGCTGACGCGGCTGGACGCGCGGTACATGATCCGCGTGGCGGAGGACCGCGGGCTGTTCGGCGCGGCGGGGGAGGGCCGGCGGGCGCGGGGGGTGCGGCGGCCGCGCGCCGCAAGCGCGCCGACACGCTTGCGCCCGCGCCGCGCCGCCGCACGCGCACTCGAGCTGCCTTCCAGGTACTTTTTTATCCTTAAGGATGTTTTGGCCCGGTGGTAAAAGCTCATAATAAACGCTGCCCGTCTAATCCCACCATACATTCAATTCACACACTCATTCCACACTACACACCCATCGCTTCGCTACAGTCTGTGGAGCTTGACTACCCTTTCGCCATGATCTTTTCGCCACGTTCTTGTCGTAGGTGATCCACTTTTCATCACAAGTGATCAACATTTTCAAAAATGGTTCGGTTTCAATACGTTTCAACAGAAAATCGCAAATTGGTACACGATTCATTAGAGTTCTTGCAGTAAGCACACCAAATACCGAGCTTTTTTGTATAGCCAGACTTTTTCAAATGGGTCCAAACTGTTTTGTAGTCAATCCTCAATTCCTTGACGATGTTGTAATTACTGATATGCCGATCTTGCTCCAGTTTTTCAAAAATAGTATAGACTATCCGTATGAGGGCGACCAGAGCGAGCTGCATCTTTGACATCAAAATTCCCGGACTGAAAACGCTTGAACCAACTTTGTGTGCTATTGTTACTGACATTGCATTAGGTCCATAAACGTCAAAAAAAATTTCGCGATTTGAGTCGCATTATTCCCTTTTTTTGTAATAAATTTTCAGAAAGTATCGAATTTCTTCGTTTGATTCACTCATTTTGGCGGGACAGAAAAACATTTAAAAAATGTCAGGAAAGTGTTTTCTACTTTTTATTTTTCTTAATGTCCTCTTACCGTACCCACGACAAATGTGTTGATGTTAACACCAGCCAGATACAACACGGTACAACCAAAGAGATTTTTCTTCAAATTTAACTAGCACAATACGAAGAAACTTTTCGCGACCTATTATTACGTTATTACATGGATGTTACATTCAGTATTTTAAATAAATTCCACTAAATTCTAGAGCACTTAACAAGGCGGTCACGTTGCCGGCACAATTCAGTGTTAAAATAAAATGCTAAAATTAACTCTCATGTTGCTATTTCGAAAACAATACTGTTGATTAGTTATTAAAAGTACTTCGGTGGTTTGGTTATTTGGAAAGAATTAATGGGGAAAGAGTGACAAAGCAAATATGTGTTGCAGAAGTGAACGGCAGCGTCGGAAAGGGAGTTCTGAGAGGAGGGAGCCTCCTGTTTCCCTGTATGACAAGTTTATGTTTAGCAGTAGACTTTGATGTGAATGAATTGTGTGAAAGTGTTGACGTTAATGTGATACTGGGCTTTTAGAATGGAACATGGCCATCATTTAGGCAAAAATTACATAGGTACGTGGCATATAAAGCTTTTACACATTATTATGAAGTTATTTTATCATTAAGTAAAAGATGCACTAACGCGCGCTCAGGAATTACATTCAAACGCCCATTAATATATAGGTACTTAATGTTTTAAGTTCTTCTAAGACATACCGTTACAGCCTATTAAAGTCCACAACTGAACATAGGCCTTCTCCATAGATTACCACACAGGGGGAGAAATTTGCTATACTTGCCGCGCTTGGTAGGTGGAAAAAAGATTTATATTTTTGTGGTTATTAGGAAGAAAATACTGCCCATCTCTTGATTTGATTCCTTCTGTCACCGCTTACGATACTCACGGATTGATAGGGAGGTAGTATGGGGAATAATTACTTTTGTAGCTTACAAAAATAATTTAAAAAGTATTAGTTTAATTACCAACAAATTAATAATTTTTTTCTTTTTGTGAATTTTAATTATAATTCGTGTATTTATTGTACTTTTATAATTTCCGGTTTCTGGCCAACATAAGGCAAAAACATCTCGTTCGGGCTTTTGTTATGAATGCAAATAAGGTTAAAGCAAATAACGTGGCAAGCAGCGTGGACCGGGCAGGTGGAGCGCATAGCGGCGCCGACGTTCGCGTCGTGGTGGCGTGCGCGGCGGGGCAGCGCACCCGCGTGCCTGGCGCCGGCGGGAGGTGCGGGGGGCGCCGCAGCCGCACCGCACGTGTGCCAACGGCACGCGCGCCGCCAGGCCGCCGCCGCCGCCTACACCGGCACCGCTTGCTCGTGCGACGCAAGACACAGGTAACTAGGCGTCAATTAATTATGAGTCACGTTACCCAACTCTAGAGATTAACGAAACGTGGAGGGGATAGCTGCGAATCAGCGCGTGTGAACGATACGCACAGCCAATCATACGTAATACGGCCAATTATGCACAATAACGGTCACCGCTAGACTTTCGTGCCGCGAGTTGTACCTTAGCTGTTAGAAAGAGGGGGTCGAGCCGAATCTCGCAAAATCTCACGTGGAGAAGAGATAAGAACTCGGCAAATATATTTTACTGTCGCAGAAAATAGTGGAAAATTTCAAGAAAACTGAGTGAAAATTGGGCAAAATATAGCTAAATCCTACACAATAATGTTTATCTGGGTTATGCAAACTCCACAAATAATGTAAAAATAATGTTTTTTTTAAATAAGCCCGGATTAAATCAAGCACTAAACAGGCATTTTAAAAAAATCACTGAGTTTTAGTGGGGAAGGGGGAGGTGAGGTAGTCGTTATATCCCACTATATCTCTTTCTCTCCAGTCGCCATAACTCTCACAAAATCCCATCAGGAAGGGTATAAAATCGCCAAAATCACCTCGCGTAATTAATGTGCGCCATCTATCGACTCCACAACAGAGATAGAAAGAACCATGCATACATTTCAAGTGACACCAAAACCATCCTTAATTTTTTGACATACAGCGCCGGGGGTACGGCTTGACAACTGATATTGTTACCTTGGGCTTGTGAAATTGCTGCTTAGTATACCCGAAAGTATTAAAAAAATAACTTTTAATGGGGTCTACCACCGACTTAAGAAGCAATTATAAAGAAGTTATTGTATTCTTTTTGAAGTAAAACTTCTTTACGCACGCTTCACTTGGGGGGTAAGCTGGCGAACGCGTGACGAACGCGTTACGAAAAATGTGATCGGTCGAGGCGAATGGGACTTGAGTTGGGGATAGAACCAAGAGAGAGCAGTGCGCGCGCACATTTACTTTCTTTCTTTCATAGCTAGTTATTTTTCGTAATTATATTTTTTGAACAATTTTACGAATTAATATTTTGTTCAATACATTAAATATGCTACGTTTAAAGTGAATAAAATTGTAAATTCATTTTAAAGTTAAAAAGTAATGTTTTGTGAATTTTCGGGTGCATAATAACAAATTATGAAAGGAAGCCAATAATAATATTTAAATATTTATAGAAATATATATATAGTCGTGTGGTCATAAGCACACTTGTTTTTTTAGAGTCGCTTTTGACTGTTTATAAAGAAATTCATGATCTATGCATTTCTGCCACGCGGGGACAATGGGGTAAGGGCAAAAACTTATTATATTGATGTTTCATCATCGTCGCATATCAGCAGGTCTACAAATCAAATTCGCAGACACCCACAACCCCACCAACGCGTGCTTCCCCTTCGCGGGACCTATGTTACCAAAACTCGGCGTTGCACTTACTGCATATAATATTAAACAAACGAAAAACATAAACATGAGCCAAAAAGTACCTGGCTAAATGGTTAAATATGCAGATAGCTACTAAATGTTCTGATTTCATCATTCTTATATAAGACTAATCTCAAAGTAAGGCATCCAGCATAAGGATACAGAATTTGATTATGTGACGACGATGAAATGAAATTATGTTCTACAGACCGAAAAGCCGTCAACGGCGCGCCTCAGCGGATGTGCCACAACTGCAACCGGATTCGGCTCCGTGTCGTCGCCCCTTCCCGCTGGCTGTGCACGATCTTCGCCTTGCTCCGCTACACCGCAAACTTACCGCCTCATGACATTAACTGTTATTCTGATTGAATTATATATTTTAAATTTTCATACACGATTTCTTAAAAGTGCAAAGAGAGAGTTATGTGATATTTAGTTTTAGTTAGAACTGACACAGAGTGTAATCAGATAAATTAATAGGCCCAGGCCAACTGACATCATTTTGAACGTGAATATGTGATGACTTGGATTTACTTTATTACACACCACAATTCTGAAACAGTCACCCTAAAATAGATTGACATCCCCTTACTTCTGTGTGCAAAGTCAGAGACGCTCACGCTGGGGGATAACTACTTTATAACCGTTTACTCTATTTTGGATTAAAACTGTCCATGATGTTATGACTGACAGCTTTACTTATGAACTTTATGGTTTACTTAAATAAAAAAATCATTATCTCTATATCTGTCTCTTTCTATTGCCATTAAGTGAAAAGAGAGAGAGTAACTTTAAGCATTTCTGAAATTTACTTCGATTTTTATGAGTAAGGCACTGAGTAAACACTGTCATGCCTATGGGGTGACACCCAATATAAATCGGTCGTTACATTTTGATTAAAAATAGTAACTATAACAAAATCTTCTTTTAAAATATACCAAGGCAATTGATTTATCAATACAAAATGCTCAATTACTTATGGCTATCGAACTAAAAAATTAGTTTAACAGTTGTTGGTTTTACATTCACTTTTAGATTGAGAGATGTTATTTATCAAACTATAAACCTTTAAGGAGTAGAGTTCCTATTTTGATATTTTTAGAATTTTTTATCAATAACATAATTAACATTGAAATTACCTCTCTATAGTAAACAAATTATAATATTTAACGCAAATTTGTTGTTTTATTTTAACTCTGAAATATCACGATAACAAAACATAAAAGAAGCTCGTATGTTATGTCAGTGTGCGCATTAAAACAACGTTTCCTATATAATTAAAACAAACTTTATTTATGAATATTACAAATCCGCCATCGAGACGGCCTCATTTACAACAATATTGAATTAATCTTTCCATGTGTGGACTAAAGCAGGGCGTGAGTGAATGTTAAAGCATTCCAAAACCTTTTGAGTAACTAATGGCTTTCATCAGTCTATCCTCGAGTTTTTCTTTGTTCTCATATTCAGGGAGCAGTAATACGTTAAAGCAAGTGTGTGCTGTTGGCAAACGATCGCAGTCTGGACCGTTCCTCGCTATAACCAGCTTTAAGTGACTCAAGCCCCCCACGGGGACTCGGTCTGAGCCGGTTGTGAACTGCAGCAGTTTCCTCTTGTCCTCCAGCGAGAGATTGTGAACTATACTCCAGAAGTCCTTAATGGTTTGCGATTCAGACGTGTAGCCACCGTCGTATTCCGTCGACTTTTCCAGTTCATTGAAGTCGAAATTCTGGAATAAAGAGTAATTATCATAACATTTCTAAAGAACAAGTTCTACCCAAAATTTATATATATATATATATATATATATATATATATCGTTATATATATATATATATACGGTAGAATCAATTGTTCACTATAACTTTTTACACAGACAATATTATGGTTGTAGCACGAACGCGTCGGCTCGACCGAGGTCGGACCACGCCTCAAAGAATACTAGCGTAAAATAGCAAGTACAACAACAAACTGCCTTTAAATATAAAAAAAGAAAATACCCAATTTTAGTAAACTTATTAAATTAGTAAAAGAATTACTTCTTTATAATGCTTATTAAACCATTAATGAGTACTTAGAAGACAAAAAAACAAAAATACAAAGCTGTGGTAGCCTCAGATGGTTAACGCTCGCTGTAAATATAACAGAACGCGAGTAACCCGGGTTCGATACCCGCCGGCACCAATGAAAGTGTTAATTGCAATTTTAAATGCTGATTTACCATGTGCTCGGCGGTGAAGGAAAATATCGTGAGGAAACCTGCAGCATGTCTGAGGAATAAGGAAAAAATATTCCAAAGACATGTGAAGTTGTGAAGTTCACCAACACGCATTGCGGCAGCGCGACGGACACTTCCTTGCCCTAAAACCCTCTCAGAAATGAGGGGGAGGCCTGTGCCCAGCTATGGGACGTATATAGGCTGTAACTTTACTTTTACTTTAGAAGATAAAGCGCTTTATATGTCTGCCTCCTTCTTTTTGATATTGCTGTACCTGAAAAGGTACATCTGTATGTCTATGCTGTGCTTCCATCCATTAGAGCCCATAAAAGTCCAATGCATGCACATACATAGCATAGGCTACCCTAATAGATTGCCTTATGCGGGGATTTTCCATAGATGCCAAGGTTGGCAAGCGGGTTGGCAACCGCAGTTTTATATTCGAGTGGTTTCAGGAAGATGTCGCTTCCCATCTGTTTCATATTCCCTCTGCCGCCTCAAACGACACCCGCGGGACGATATGGCGTAGTGGATATCCTTACACTGCCACTACATGGTTAGTGCTTATATAGTTACAATAACACATGTAATGCAATTATTAAAGAAATTAATAAATAAAAATATATAATAACAAATGACCAGAACATTGATTTGTTTTTGATACATGAATATAATTTGTGCTTGGTACATACTAGAGCGTCCTCATACGGTTGGAGTAATGGGCCGGCCATATAGTTTGAAGAAACGATCACCGATGGGAAAGAAAGGTTCTCGAGTGGCAGCCTCGTACCGGTAGGCGTAGTGTAGGGCGACCCCCCACTAGATGGAGTGACGACGTGGTAAGACATGCAGGAAGTCGATGGATGCAGGTGGCTCAGGACCACGATTTGTGGCATACCTTGGGGGAGGCCTATGTTCAGCAGTGGACTTGTGAAGGGCTGTAATGATGATGATGATGATGATTATGATGACATATTAGAGACTTTATTGTAATTATTTTATTTTATTTATATTTGTATATGACCCACTGCTGACCACAGACCTCCTTACATTTCTGAGAACTTACTCCTATAGATATTATTATCAAAATATACTAACTTTGCTACCACACACCAATGTCTCGATTTCTTCCGGCCGGAACAGTGCACCAAGTGGACTTTCATCTGTCACCATCATGAATCCACGTCTAAATGCTTTGAACTGGGTTTCCACTGATTTATTGAGCAAAAAATCTGCATATAAGTCCACAAACTCCTTTAAAAATAAACATTTTATTTTATTAGTAATTTGATTTAGAGCCGCACATATCACCTGATCAGCATTTTTGCCTCATATAGTTATTTCATTATTCATCGAGTCAGTTCACATAGCATCGCCACACAGCGTGTTCATGTACTCATTATCAGCTATTAGCAGTTTTTAAATATATCATATCTACTATTCTATTTATATATCTACAATTTATTTATTTTATTAGCAGCATCTTAGATGTAAAATACAAAGCCGAAACGAAGCATTGGTACATTGCTGATTTTTTTTAACTTCCCGCTAAGAAAATTGAAAATTTTCAAAATTAAGGAAGTTATTGGTTTCACACCGATTTTCGAAAATCGAGTTTTCATCAGATCTCGACGTTTTGAGATCCCAGGAAGCTATTCTGACTATTTTCACGTGGACTTCCGTACGGATGTATGTATGTATGTATGTGCGTGTGTGTATGTAAACCTTTCATAACTTTTGAACGTGTTGAGATGCAGTTTGCGACGTTCTAAAGATCTCAATGCGGAATAAATTTGGTAATAATATGAACTGATTCGGACGAGTAGACTTTGATAAATCTCAAAAATAAAAAATTTGAAAAACTGTTTTTTTAGAATAACTTTTAAACGGCTTTACCAATCCATTTCAAAAACTAGTCAGCTCTTAACCTCAAAAAATGACGTCGAATGCCGTTTAGAAAATAAAAATCGGTTCATTCGATCGTGAGGTATTGAAGGAGAAATAATTTGAAAAAAAAGTTTTTTTTAACATAATTTTGTGAAATTTGGAGCGCTTTGCATTTGGAATTAGCAGGAAGTTCCAGGGATGGCCTGCAGGGTCAACCAATTTTTTTACAGAGTAACGGTGACAAACAAGTACACAGTCCACCAGATAAGTGGATGCTGTGGCCCATAATCATCTATGTTTATCTTCAATTAAGAATCAAAATGCATATGCGTAGTCATTCCTGAGGACTGAGATGGAACGCCGCGTTTCCGCATGCGTCGTCCTACCCTGGTCGAGCCGACCCATTCGTGCCGCAACCACATTACAGCTGAAGCATGGCTTTACCATGTTGGCGGCAGACATCGATGAGAGACGGTTTGAGGTGAGTTTTTAGAAAAGTAGTCTGCCTCTCATAAACACTACATAAACTGGCAAGCGCTAGTCCGTTCGTGCATGGTAACATGGTAACATGGCAAGTAACCTTGCCATATATGGTTTGGTGCTGCAAAATGCCACCTAGGAGCTTTGACCTCAATGGAAAGATGTGCTAAAAGACTTATTGGTGAATCTTAATAAAGTTAATTTTACCAGTCTCAAGCAGAGGCGCAAAGTAGCCAGCCTTTCAGTGTACTACAATATAATTTTCTAGTGTGCGCAGGAGTTGCATGATTTTCCCCTCTCTCTTCCGAAATCGGTCTCTACTATTCTGTTGTTGACAGCAAACTAAATGGTTAGTCTACTTTTCTGTATAAAAGACTATCTGGGTAGGTAAACCCATTGCTGCTGCCAAGCAGCAGTGCGTGCACTGCTGAGTTCCAGTCTGAAGGCTGTAGAGAGCTAGTATAATTACAGTCGTGATTACATATCTATAGCCTAATTTTTTTTTAAATTAGTAAACATGCCCATTGGCTGCAGTCGACACTTATCATCAGGTGTATTGTTGTTGTCATGCAACTTTAATTGTATTAAAAAAAAACACATTTCATATATATAGGTATTAAGTCACTATTGTTAAAATTAAGGTACATGTTCGATTTATTTGGAATTGACAGATAGAGGCGTGTGTTCTTTAGTAACGATTTATTCACTTACTTTATAAAATAAAAACTTAAACTTAAATTTCGCTAAGTATGGATTAGGAATGGTATATGTACGTATTATGTATGTTTGTGAGCTTTGTTGCTTGTACGTTTATTATGCTGATCATTGATGCATGTTTATTTGTGTTCTGTGAACATGTGTTTATAATATTGATGCCTGTTTGTGCGTAAATATGTGTATGTTCTAGTAAATAAACCTAATAGTCATATTACCTTTTTATTTTCCTGTGTAACAAATATACTGTCTCCATCCTCTTTTAAATCATGGAAAAGATTGTTGCCAAACACATCTTGGTAGCATATCCTAAATGTTTGGTAATACACTTCTTCTAAATCATTTTCCATATAATCTAACATATCTCTTAGACTGTTGTATAAAATCTGCAAGAAAAGAGCGTAGTTGTTTACATAATTCACAGTATTTTAATTTTACTAAAAATTTTGGATATCTTTGTTCTAATGGCGTCGGTATTGAAATTTGAAATCGGGTAATCGAAATAAGCTTCAAGCCACTAAAGGTCTTATGAAATATAACATAATACTTTGTAATATCCATCTTACCAATTGTGGTAGGTCAGGGGTTAACCACTTGTCATTTCATGAATTAAAATCGCGCACGCGATATTTACTAATTATAATTTTGTATTGCACAAATAACATGTAAAATGGTTCTATGACAAAAAAACTAAACATGTTTGATGAGTGGTATACGCTTAACCTGCTCACTTATCTAAATATATATTTTTTATTCTAATGATCCTAGTCAGGACTTTATAAAGTTATGATATTATTATATTGTCATCGACCCTTGACCCCTGTGTAAATTTTCAAGTTAATCAGACTCCTAGAAGTAGATGACAATGAAGTTAAAAGATTCCGTTACATACATACACACATACATACAGGTCAAGCTAATAAAAGCATGTTAATAACACACAATCTAGCAACAATTACTTACAGGATTCCAATCTGCTAAGTCTTCAAAAGAACCTTTCCTGCCCATAAGTTTCCTATAAACAACCATAGGAAAGTTCACTGCCAATATAATATTGTTGTATATCGCCAAGCCTAGAACTATGCCGATTAACGTAAATTGCGCCTCAGTTTCGAACGATGTAGGGTTGAACCTGAAACATTTATTTAAAAGGGGTTAATCGTGGGGTAGATTCTTTTAATCTTTATCAGACTTAGCAATATAATGATTTTGTATGCAATCACTACACGTGGCAGCTGCATTTTGTGCATTGTTCGTGAGCACCGAGCCAAGGGGATTGTAATGATGCTCCCCATAACCATTCTGTGGGTGATAGCTGTACCAGACATCTCCAACGCTATTTTACGTCACTTGTACTATGAAACGAACACATAGGTAACTATATATAACAACACATCCCCCATATGAGCAACGACATAAATAAACGGTCTCCAGTTCCAACGCTGCCAGTCTCCGACGGCCCCGCCATTCCTAGCTACGGTAGCGGCTGCGTGCAACGGTGTGGTCACAGTGGGGCAGGGGGTGCTAAGAATTTCCGGTGGAGGTTCAGTTGCCACCTAAGATGATTTGGCCTAGCAACATATAATACACTCATTCTGAGGACTGACGAGAAGATGCTAGGATGGATTATAGGATAGTTGCGCTAGGATTATTATAGGATTATTATAGGATATATAGAGGGAAGACATGGTAATACTCGAATCGGGCAATTTGTTTTATCACCGGGGGGGGGGACCACCTGCCCGAAGGAGGTGTCGGATTTATATCATCCACAAGTCTCTCATTACATACGTTGTAAAGATCGACGAGGATTGCGTTCTTTATACTCATCACTCACCAAACCGTATTTCGCTGAAGGTTATGCAAGCTTATTTAACAACCTCGGCACATCTCGATGAGGAGGTGGATGAAATTTATAAAGATCTCTAGAGCCATGCATGCCTTCAAAACCTACTATATATATATATAATAATGCCCTCCAGATCGAATTTCGGCCACGGCGGCCTGCCTCAACGGAGACTAGCCATTGGCGCAGGGCAGGATTATAGTGCCCAAGTGTATGCACAAGCACAGGTGCACTCTCTATTCGAAAGACCAACGGCTTTACGTGCTTTCCGAGGCACGGAGGTGAGACACCGCCAACTTCCTGACTCCGGGCAACTACTAAGAATTTCTTGACGGAAAAACTCAATAATTAATTTTTTGGCCTGACCCGGGATTCGAACCCAGGACCTCATGATCAGCAGTCGCACTACAATGCCTATAAAACTGCAATGCAGTGGATAACACGAATGACAAACTCGTGGAAACTGTCTATCCGGTAGAAGCTAAGTTCTGCAAGCCCCCTTGCAGAAGAATACAAAAACTCTCCGATATACTCTTAATTTCATGGCTGTTAGACGGTTCATAATCGACGAGTTCATCACACACCTTCAATTTGCCGACGATACAGTCCTTATGGCAGAATCGCTGGAGGACCTAAGCACTATGCTTAATTACCTCAATAGTGTACCCCAACAGATAGGTCTTAAGATGAACATGGACAAAACAAAGGTCATGTGTAATGTCCATGTCACATCTATGCCAGTAGTAATTGGGAGCGACTCAAAGTTGTTGACGAGTATGTTTACATTGGACAAATAGTCCGACCAGGTGAGTCCAAAATCGGCGGATTCAACTCGGCTGGGCAGCTTTTGGAAGCTTCCGACACATTTTCTCGTCTGGTATACCTCAAAAATTGAAAAAGATTGTACAACCAGTGCGTGTTGCCAGTGATGACTTATGGATATGACATGTGGTTCTTCACTGCTGGCCACATGAGAAAGCTCAAGGTCACTCAGCGAGCTATGAAAAGGGCTATACTCGGGGTTACTTTGCGTGATAAACTCAAAAATGAGGATATCCACAGTAGAACCAGAGTGACCGACATAGCCCAACGGATTAGTAAACTAAAATGGCAATGAGCCAGCCATACAACTCGAAGAACCGACACTCGTACTGGTGGGCGTCTTTTAACTAGATGGAGTGGTGACGACCTGGTAAGACATGCAGAAAGTCGATGGATGCAGTTGGCTCTGCCTCAGGACACTGCTGAACGTAGGCCTCCAAGAACTTTACACTTTACATTATCTATGAACAAGTATGGGAATTACACCCCACATTGCTGGTCTGACTAATTTAGGTTTAAAGAATTTATTCTCACAAAAAAGATTACATAATCCACTTACATGAGAACAATAATATAAACTTAATCTAGGTAACGGTCACCGTATTCACAGTTCCATCGTGACACTCTCCGAAATTACAAGTCAGTAGCTTTCAAGAATGTAGTTGTGCAATTGAGACTTGAACTTGTTAAAGGAATCTATATTTTTAATATGAGAAGGTAGGCTGTTATAAAAGTGTGCTCCCTCAAAGGTAATATTTTTTTTCCCTAATTTGGTACGTGTCTTTGGCAATACGAGCAAGCTAGGTCGACGAAGACTGCGTTTGGATATTTGTGACTTTTTGGTAAAGGACAAACTAGTTTGGATGTTTTTACTCATGATCTTCCTAATTAGAATGCAAGTGCTATATATATAAAGTTGTCGAATGTTCATTATTTTTGTGTCATCAAAAATTTTACGAGTCGATGTTAAGTATGGGTAGGAGAAAAGTATTTTTATTGCTTTATTTTGAGCTCTTTGTAGTTCCTGCAATTTCGTTTTGGCGGCACTGCCCCATATTTCTATTAAATATAATATATGAGATTTGATAAGTGAATTGTAAATATTGAAACGTAGTTTCCTAGGTATACAATGATTTATGTTACAGAGTGAACCCGTTAGCGACGATAATTTGCTTTTTATATATTCTATCTGTTTGTTCCGTGTTAAATTACTATCCATTCTCAGACCAAGATATTTTTCACAAGTTTTTTGTTCGAGTGGAATATTGTCAATTGTTAAAGGAGCATGCGGGGGAATTATTTTATTTTTCGACTTGTAGATAATATAGCATGTTTTTAAGATGTTGATTGTTAACAGGTTGGACTGAAACCATTCAAACAACATGTTAAGGTCTTCTTGAGCTTTTGAGATGATTTCGTCCATATTTGTACCGAAATAGAATAGGCATGTATCGTCTGCGTACAAAGTTAAATGGCCGTGTAGTCTTAAATCCGTTATATTGTTAACATAGATAAGGAAAAGAAGCGGTCCCAATATGGACCCTTGTGGGACACCATATGTAATGGGTTGGGTATTGCTTTGGTTATTATCTATTTTGACTATCTGTACTCTATTTGTTAGGTACGACTCAAACATTTTAAGGGCACTACCTGTGATACCAATGTGCTCTAACTTTTTTAAAAGTAACTGGTGACTTACGGTATCAAAGGCTTTTTTCAGGTCGATGTAAATGCCTAGAACAATCCTTTTCTTATCCAGGTTTTCTTTAATTTTTGTTGTTAAATCTACTATTGCCGCAGTTGTATTGCTTTTTGACCGAAAACCGTACTGACGTGGAGATATAAAGTTAAATGAATCCAGGTAACTTGATAATCGGTTATGTATTACTTTTTCTAGGATTTTCGACAATATTGGTAGTACAGAAATAGGACGATAGTTTCCTGGGTCAGTTGTGGGCCCGGATTTGTAAATTGGTGTTACTTTTGCAACCTTCAAAGTATCGGGAAATTCGCCGTCAGTCATAAGTTTGTTTATTGAATGTGCCAGGCCTTCAGAGATTATATCTTGCAAACATTTTAGGACTTTTGTGCTGATTTTGTCTATTCCACTACTAGTATTGGGATTTAGGTTGTGAATAATTTTATTTATTTCATTTGCATTACATGGGGTAAAGGCAGACAGTTTATGATCGTTTATTTTTTGTTGTATGAAATCAGGATTCAAAGTACTATCGTGATATTTGTTAGGTATTTTGTTTGCTAATAGAGAACCTATAGTAGAAAAATATTTGTTAAAAATATCACAAACTTCATCTGTGTCGCTAATTAGTTCAGAGTCTATTAAGAGCTTTGGAGGAGCACTACTTTGTTTTGTTTTGTTATTTGCTAGGTTATTTATAAGAGCCCACATCTTTTTAGGATTATTAGTATATTTTGTAAATAGTTTATAGTAGTAGGAATTTTTCGTATTTTGTATCAGTTTAGCTATTGTGTCTCTTTTTTTGCTTGTATTCTTGTTCTAGTCCCTTGTCATCCTGATTTTTTTTTGTGTTGCAACCATAGGTAGTTCCTTTGGGTAATCCCAGTGATTATATCACTGTTGATCCAGTCATTTTTAGGCGGGTTCAGTGTTTTCGTTTTCACTACTCGATTACGTGCTACGCATTGCTTTATTTTATTTTCAAGATATTCGTAAGTGTCTGCAGTGGCTTCCGTTTCATATGATTCCATTTCAGTATACATTCTTTTGTAATCTATTGCCTCATAAGTCGTTCTTAAATTTTACATTTCCCAAGTCCCCTCATATGACACTGATAGGGTGATGAGTATCTTACACTGGCACCACACAAAAATTACATTATATATAGGAAAAACAAACTTTATACATGAACTTGAATCAAAATCGAGATCTACAGCTAGTATTAATATTAAACAATATGCTGATCATTAAACAATGAAACCGGTACACAGCCTCTTTCATATTTCATTCAATACTGTATGTATTTCATTCGTTTATGTATACTAACCAAACAGTGTGTGAGTCAACCTGTTGAGTGAACATTCCATAATCTGGGTTGAAAATTTCTTCCACAATGAGCTGGAAGAATTCCTTGCTGACACCACCTTCGTCCACGCCTTGCTCGCCATCAAACTCCACCACAAGCTGCTTTTTAAGGTCTAACGCTCTCTCCATTGCTATCATTTCTAACTGAAAGTGAAAAGCGATTGATAACATTGAGTAGGAGTTAGTGAATATAACCCGCCTAATGGCAAGTGAATGCTGTGGCTCATAGTGTAGTAGTGTAGTAGTTGATAACTTTTCAAACCATTTTATTTATCGACAACATCTTGCAACCCTTGTTTCTCTAGCGCTGACTTGACCTTCATACAAATAATTCGATACTTTAATTGTTGATAATTTTTATTTTTGGATAAGAACATAGTAAAATTAATTAATATCAAAATGACTTTTAAGTTATATTTACCTATATTAAAAAAAATTGTATTTAGCCTGACCTACTATACTCTTTGGCTTGACCATAGGTCTGAATAAGTTGGTCCAAAAAAATGTCGGAGCCTGAGCGGTTAAAGCGATGTAATATTTAAAGTGACGAGAGCCCTTTAGATAAAATCGATCGGAGAACTGCAACGGAAAACCTGCAGCATTATTTTTACATGCCCAAGAACCCAAACTCCTAGATGCCGCTACTACAAGGGCACTGATGAGAACAATCGCCGCTCCTAGTCGGTTTCCCCTCCGCCATCCATATTGGATGCATACTGTTCGGTTCCACACGAACAAATGAACGTACTGTAGTGCAGAATATATAATGTAATGTACCTCGACGAGCGCGTCGTGTATGATGTTGTGGCGGCGCACGGTGAGGCGCAGGAAGGGCGCGGGCGGCGAGGCGCCCACCACCGCGTGCAGCAGCGACACGCGCCGCTCCGAGTACATGCGGATGCGGTTCTGTAATACAGCTGCTGCGTACTGCAGCGTACCTCGACGAGCGCGTCTTGTATGATGTTGTGGCGGCGCACGGTGAGGCGCAGGAAGGGCGCGGGCGGCGCGGCGCCCACCACCGCGTGCAGCAGCGACACGCGCCGCTCCGAGTGCATGCGGATGCGGTTCTGTAATGCAGCTGCTGCGTACTGCAGCGTACCTCGACGAGCGCGTCGTGTATGATGTTGTGGCGGCGCACGGTGAGGCGCAGGAAGGGCGCGGGCGGCGCGGCGCCCACCACCGCGTGCAGCAGCGACACGCGCCGCTCCGAGTGCATGCGGATGCGGTTCTGTAATGCAGCTGCTGCGTACTGCAGCGTACCTCGACGAGCGCGTCTTGTATGATGTTGTGGCGGCGCACGGTGAGGCGCAGGAAGGGCGCGGGCGGCGCGGCGCCCACCACCGCGTGCAGCAGCGACACGCGCCGCTCCGAGTACATGCGGATGCGGTTCTCGTAATACAGCCCCAGCGACTTGCTCGCCGCCGTCAGGATGAACGGG